ACCCGTACGTCCCTGGGCAGGGTACTCCGGATTTCGTAATAAAGGGAGGGGGGTCTCATTTCGGAGGGGGTCTCTTCCAGTCTATCTTGGAGGGCCTGGGGGGGTCTGGGGACGGTGTTTTGGAGGGTTCTCCCACGGGGGAGGTCTGAAATGGCTTGTCTTGGAGGGTCCAGACCCCCTCCCTTTTATTACGAAATCTGGAGTAGGCACCTAGTGGCGATCAGTGGGCTTGGGGGTCCATGCATCCCATCGTCTGGTTTTCGGGTCCTAACTCGGGCCTCTGGCGGCCGTTCGTTCGGGGCGAGCAGGGCAGCCCCAGAACGTTCTCGGGTGCAGCTGCTGAACCGCACGCCAGGGCTGGGAAGCTGCTGGGAACCGACGAACATGCCGATAATCTCGAACCTCGAATCTCGAACATCCCCCTGAGCCTATCCTCCCTGACGTTGTCCCTGACCCCATGGGTGAGGGAGGATATTGTACGGCCAGACCTAGGACAGACTAACATCCTTCAGAAACATGAGACCCTCCGCTGGCCAAACTGAAGAACAGTCGAGGGTAACCTCACCCAGGATGCACAAGAACAGCCAAGAAAAACAACCATGAGGGCACCTTCCCCGAACCTACCTCGATCTTATACATCGAGCCGACCGCATTCGAAATCTGCCTGCAGCTCGCTCCCCGATGGCACCCGCGCCAATACCGAGGGCCCTGCAATCATCCATGCGGCTTCCTCCAGGATCCAGAAGGCACCCCAAGGGGAGGACGGCTCGAGCTAAACAGTGTTCCTCGTTTTTGTGTTGTGTTCGGTGTTCCTCGTTTCGTCTTCGCTCCGACTTGCTGCGAAACGAACTCCAAACGAGAACGGCCCACGAAATCGCCAAAATCACCGTTTAGCTCGAGCCCTGGGGAGGAGAGGGCGGGATGGGAATGATCGTAGGATTGGGTCGGGCATGTCCCCGTACAGGCGGATTTTGGACGAAAAAGTAAAACAAATCAAAACATGCCCCAACATGTTACTTTGTTCTTACTATGTTTGAGAATTCCTCCTGTAGAGGGACGTGCCCGACTTAATCCCTGCGCGAGGCGCCAGGGAGGGCCCTCCCGACGGCGTGGCCCCCGCCACTCGTGCTGGAGACATCCTGCATCCCCGGCTCGGGGAGACATCGTGGACCCCCTCTGGTTGTGGTGTAGCCTCTCCTCCCTTCCGATGATATCCCCCCACACGCACGCACGCACTCATGCACAAACACACACGCACACGCACAAGCACAAACACATGCGCACAAGCACAAGCATACACAAACACAAACACACACACAAACACAAACACACACACACACACACGCACGCACAAACACAAGCACAAGCACAAGCACAAGCACAAACACACACACACACACATAAGCACTAACACGAACACACACACACAGACAAACCCACAAACCCATAAACACACACACAGAGACACACACACACAGAGAGAAACACACACACAAACGAACACACACACACACACACCGCCCCAATGCAGAAAACAGCGCCCGCCATCGCGGCCCTTCCCACCCGCAGCCTCTCTTGCTGCCTGCGCCGCCCTGCCTGCCGTGTGCCCAGGAGCGGGCGCGCGCCCCCCGCCCTGCTCCTCGAAGAGGTCTGCTCGGGTCACGAGGTCTAGGAAGTCCGCGCGCCCCTCCAGGGGCGAACACGGCGCACATGTAGCTTGGAGGTCCCAACACCGTGTGGTGACAGACCCGGCGGCGACCTCGAAATCCTGGAAGGAAAGAAAAAGCAACAAAACAACAACAACAACTCACCGCGCGGTCCGTCACCACGCGGTTTTGGGACCCTGGAGGCTCCAGTCGCCCGAGACATCCTCGGATAACGACCCAAGTCCCAAAACCGTGCGGTGACCCCGAATCCCCACCGACTCACCACACGGTGTGGTCACCTCCCCGTTAGGAGCCCCCGATTATCGCAGGCACTGCTGGGGGGGGCCTCCGGGACAATGACATCAGGCACGCTGGATCTAGGGCCTGCGTGACTGGCATACAATCGCAAATTGGTTGGAAGACGGGATGAAGAGCGGAAGGGAAGGGGGGGGAAACGGAAAGGGAGAGGAAAAGGGGAAGAGGGGGAATGGCGGAGGGGGGGACGGGGACATCCGCCATCCCTCCTGCGTTGTCCCCGTCCCCCCTCGCTCATCGCGCATCGCTCCTCCTCCACCTGCACCCCCTCCCCCTCGCGCGCCTTCTCCCGTCCAGGCCCCCTCTCCTCCCATCTCCCTCCCCGCCTCCCCCTCCCTGCCTCCCCTTCCCAGCCTCCAAGCTGCATCCGCATTGGCTCCCCTGACTATCCAGTCCCATGGCTGCCCTCCCTCACCCACTCACTCAGCTGCTCTCATGATAAAACTATCTCCCTCCCCCTGCTCCTCCCCCCCCCTCCCTCCGCCCCCCCTTCCCCGCTCCCTCCCCCTCCCCCTCGTCCCCCTCCCCCTCCCCTCCCCCCTCCTCCCGTTCCCGTTCCCGATCCCGTTCCCGTTCCGGGTTCCCGTTCCCCCTCCTCCTCCTCGTCGTCGTCGTCCTCCTCCTCCTCCTCCTCCTCCACTTCCTCCTCCTCCTCCTCCTCCTCCTCCTCCTCCTATTCATATGTTTTGTTCATCCTAGTTTTCTTCATATTATTATTCCTCTCCCGCCTCCTCCTCATCATCTTCCCCCTCCTCCTCATCTTCCTCCTCCCCCTCGTCCTCCTCCTCCCTTCCTCCTCCTGCAACATGCAAAGCAGCAGGGTGCCGCTGCCCTGGCTGCTCGGAAAGCAGGCGCGGGACGCCCGCGAAGCCTGACAGCGCCCCGAACGCCAGCGCGGTCGGAGCGCTAGGCGGAAAGGAGCGCCACGAGGCGCTGGAGAGGGCCCGCGAACAGGACCGTCCCTGGGCATCGTTTATCCGAACCCTATCCCCATCTAGGTGGCCTTTTCTCCACTTGGGGATTTACCCCCCGAGATGGGGATATAGGCCGTCTCCCTCGGGTTTTGGAGGGTATATCCCCAAGTCGGGGGCGGCGGGAGGGGGTGGGCTGGTGGGAGGCTTCATGGGGTTGGGGTTAGGTTAACCGATACCCGGCGAGCCTGGGGTGGAAGTGAGAGAGGGCAGGCCTTCTCAGAAGGCTCGGAAGGCTCCGGGCCTTCTGTGAAGTTTTCGAAGTCTCCGCGTAAAATACGTGAAAGTCTTCTCAGAAGGTGCGAAGGCCTCAGAAGGTGCGAAGGCCTCAGAGAAAGGCGGACCGGGCACCCGGCGTAACCGGCACCGCAGCCACCGCCACCAGGAGGGGGAGAGGGGGTCGTCAGAGTCGCCGCAGCCCGCCCCGCCGCCCGCCTCGCCGCCGCCCGCCGGAGGGCGCGAGGGGGGCAAGGGGGGGGAGGGCCCTGGAGGGCTCCTGGCGGGGGGACCGCGTCCCCGAGGGCCCACCCGCCGACGCCAGCGAGCGCCTGCATGATGGTGATGCCCAAGCGGCGCGCAGGCCAGCGCGACCCGCAGCCTCTCCCCGAGTTCGAGCCGACGTCTAGCCAAATGCGGGCTCTTGGCCCAAAAGTGCCGAGCCGAGGCCTGGGTGTGCCCGCAACCGGATGGGCAAACACGCCGGCTTATCGCCAGAGCCTAACAACAGCAGCCTCAAAAGGACCCCACTACACCAAGGGGGGGGTCGGGGCTCGCTACGGCAGGTTCGTGTCGTGACGACCCCAGCGTTGGTTTCTGAGACTGCGTGGATCGTTCAACCTTGAACGATCGGCGGCTCTTCGATCGCCCGATCGTTCCATATAGGCCGATTCTGGGCCACTGGCGGCGTTCAACCTTGAACGCCCGCGGCGGGGTCGCCGCCAGTCGACACGACGCGAACCTACCGTAGGAGGACGAGGAGCGAGGCGAAGGGAGGGGGGCGGGCCACACAGGAGGGCCGGGATCCCAGCTCGCAGTCTCGCTGTTCGGGGGCTCAGGTCGGGCATGTCCTCCTACAGGCGGATTGTGGACGAAACATCAAACATACCAGACAAATCTTTAAAAATCATCGGAAATGGTAGAAACATCGTCCTGACTGAAGCCCTGAGGCCCTCCAGGCTCGTGAGGGGTGCTCTGGAGGCCGTCTGGGCCACCCCGATTCCGAGAGGCACCTTGGGACGGGGGCACCTCCCGCCACACCCGACCCTGTGCCGAGAGGCAAAGCTCCGAGGCGGGAATGTGTACATGACCACCGCCTGGAGGGTCAGTTTTCGGAGCCTCGGCAGGCGGTGGATATGGACATATTCGGGCCCCCAGGGGCCGAAATTTATCCATATCCGCCGCCCGCTGGGGCACCAGGATGTCGGTTCCCAGGCGGTGGATATGGATAAACCCCCGCCTCGCAAGAGCGAGCTGTGGATCCCGAGAACGTGGAGGCGTGGAGGACGCCCTGCGCGGGGCTCGCGCGAGGGCGAGGGGGCAGCCGTGCACGACCACGCCTCGGGCCTGGGACGGCGTAGGCGCACCTCGGGAGGCGTTCGGCGAGGTCCAGGTGACGTGGTGGGGGGCCTGAGGCCAAAAGCTGTCCCCTTCCGAGCGCAGTGGAACATGCTAGACTGGAGGTCTCACAAGACTACACGAAAGAGTGACGCTGGGTAAGAGTGACCTCTGGTGCGCGGCTTTTGGGTGACCGCGCGGGGGCCAACCACAAGCGCGCAAGACGCTACTACTGCTCCGCGTTCGGCGATCGGGGGACCCCATTGGGCCCGCACCAAAGGTCACTCTAGCGAAAGGTCACTCTTACGTGTAGTCGACAGATGGGGTCGAAGCACATGGGCTTGGAATATCCCGCCGCGTCGCCAGCTTTGAGAAATTCGGGCTCCCATCGAGCCATATCGCCGATTCATCGGCGATGCCGCGCGTGGACCCCATCTGGGAGGCCTGCGTCGACCGAAAGGTTCCCCCCCGTCGAGTTCTGCGGCGGGGCGGCTCGGCGGGAAGCCCGTCTGGCTAGATGCGCTCCGAGCGGCCCAGGCTGAAGGCGCAGCTCTGCCCGGTGAGCTTCTTGCGCCCGTCGCCTCCGCCCGTGGCCCGGGCACGGCACGGGGCTCCCACCCCCTCCGGCCCCGCCGCCGCGAGGACCAGGAGGCGGATCCTGCCACGAGCAGCGGACAGATCCGTGTCCGCACCCTCACGGACTCGATTCCAGGGCGCGGTCCCGCGGGTACGCGCTCGCACGGTTGCGCTCCGCGCAGGGCATCCGCGGAACGACGCCCCGTATCCGCGCGGTCGCGGCCTCGGGGCCCGGTCTGCGAGGCCGCAGATACGAACATGTGCTTCGCCCACCAAACTGGTTCCGTTTAGATCGATTCTCTTTCACCACAAGGGCCGCACCTTGCCTGCCAAGAAAGAGAGAGAAAGAGAGAGAGAGAGAGAGAGAAAAGAGAGAGAAAGAGAGAGAGAGAGAGAGACCGCGGCCGCGCCGAGGGCGGTGCGAGAGAGAAAGAGAGAGACAGAGAGAGAGAGAGAGGGAGAGACGGAGAAAGGGAGGGAGAGAAAGAGAGAGAAAGAGAGAAACAAACTAACAAGACGTTCACGGGCCTGCAAGGCCAAAAGCAGAATGATCAGGTGAAGGATGGGGGGGATGTCAGCAACAGTTCGCCCGCGGCACTGGAACGCCAATTATTGTGGATAGTGAGCTTGCGAGCTATGTCGCGCACTTGCGGGAAGGAACCAGGAAATCCTTGTGGACCCCCAACTCGTGGTGCAAAATGGGGGGGTGCCCTCCCCGATTTCTTTCCGCAGGAGGATCCCAAGGAGGACTCCCGCTCTGACCCGTCGAATCGGCCGCCGCACCTTCTTCCCCCTGACACGTTTCCCTTTCCCCATATGACCCCCCCTCTCCCTCCCGCCCCTCGCACACGTATCCCCATCCCTGTTCCTTCGCAGTGTTCAAACAATGATTCGGATAGACAAATGAACAGACAAACACTCGCATCGCAACGACGCGCGTTAGTGGCCAGACGAGCACGCAACACCCATGCGAAGAACATGAACATGCCAACAACGTCACATCTGAACGTACTATATTTCCGGATTGTCACAGGCTGAACTACCAAGTGCAAAATTCGAACCACTTGTTGGCCGTCGCGCCAAAACCCTCTCTCTCTAAACGCGCTTTGATATCCGCCGATCCGGCGTGTGCGTTTAAAAGGTCTAAGCTGAAGCTCTGCTTCAGCATGAGCTTTAGCTCTGCTTGGGAGGGGGGGAAGTGGGGGGGACCTCATTAACTGACGAATTCGGTGCTGGGCACTCTACCAGCCCCCCCCTCGATTTCGCCCCCCCCCCCCCCTCCCCCCGGAGTTTTGCTTTGCAAGGGTGAGGGCAGGAGAGGTGGTGGTGTGTGTGGGGGGGGGGGGCGCTCCTCTCAGGCGCGAGCGGGAGCTGCAGGGAAAGGCGAGAGGGTCCGCTTTGCAGATGGGCGCTCTGCAAGGGGAGGGGGGGGGGGGACAGGAGAGAGGGGGGGGGGACAGTAGACAGGAGAGAGGGGGTGGGGGGGACACGAGAGAGGGGGGGGGGAAAGGGGAGAGGGGGGGGGAAAGGAGAGAAGGGGGGGGGAAAGGAGAGAGGAGGGTGGGGGGGGCCGGGATCATCACCATCTCCATCTCCATCACCACCATCACCATCGTCACATCACCACCACCATCATCATCATCATCATCATCATCATCATCATCATCATCATCAACACCACCACCACCACCACCACCACCATCATCATCATCATCATCATCATCATCATCATCATCGTCATCATCATCATCATCATCACCATCATCATCATCATCGTCATCATCATCATCATCATCATCACCATCACCATCACCATCACCATCACCATCAGCATCATCATCATCATCATCATCATCATCATCATCATCATCTGGAGCGCCCCGGATCGGCGGCGCTGGCCGGAGGCCACTACACTATCGTCAGCACATCGATTCACTGGGCGGCGGGCCAGACGACCCAAGCAGAATCTAGAAATCTCGGGCTGCCTGGCTGCCTGTTGGACTGTCCACCTGTCGCAGGTTGGCGTGGCCACGCGTCGCACCAACGTCCGCACAGTCGGGCGCCATGCCGGGCGCCGTGGACGCCACGCGCCGTACGCGAGACGCCGACGGCTCGAGGTCGCCCTGGCTATTGTCATCGTCGTCGTCGTGGCCGATGTGCGCGGAATGGCTGTCGCTCGTGTTGGCCGCGTCGACAATATCCATGCGCTGGGCGTCGGTATCCTGGTCAAAGACGCGCCAACCAGCCCCGAATATTATCCGCGGCTTTTTCCGTTGCGCGCGCTGCACTCTTTATTGCGATTCCCGCGTCAAGGTCCACAGCGATGATCCGTGAAAGGCGACTCGAAATATCGCACTGCACTCGCGAACCGTTTTGCTTAGAAACCACTACTTCTCGCCGCGAACAGTGTCGAAGCCTGCCAAATACGGTGGTCCAGTCCTGTAAATTTGGCAAACGAATACCCCACCACATTGCCCAAACAATTTCTTGTGATTGAAAAGCTACTTTGAGGCCGTCGATCACAAGATTGTTTTGCATGCCCTGGCCGTTATGTTTCCCGACGTGTCAACACTTGTGTTTTGCCAGCGTGGATAACAAGACCGACTGCGGCAACTGCTGAACTCACGTCCGACAACATGGTTCTCATTTGGTGTTTCGCCCTGACGGCAGGAAACAACATCGCCCGCATGACGTTGATGCGTAATGTTCGGAGATGCGACGAATCCAAGTGGTACGCCGTGGACCCGCTTCAGCCAGTTCCCTTTGATTTGGCGCATCATGATGTTCTGTATAGAAAGCATAAAATACCAAGGAGCCCAGAGGATTGGAACACATCTGCTCTGTTTATCCGTTGCGACTTGGGCTGTTTGATCAGAGTGAAGACTCTCCAGAATGATGTTGCACTGCAGCGGCACGCCGCAACGAAATAAAGAAATTCACAATGCTTGGTGCCAAATTCTAGACAGGCTATGGCCACTGGCATGTCTAAGACAAGCGCGGAAGACATCAAGGACGCGTTCAGCATACCTGGCGCAACTGGCACTCGAGGCGCGGACTGCGCACGCAGCGCAATGGGCGTACCTGGCGCAACTGGCGCCTTTTGCGCGCTAGCGCGCGCACTTGGCGCACTGGCGCGCCTTGCGCACCTAGAACAGTTGAAGCTCGCAAAAATCTGCGCATCTGGCACGCTTGGAGCAGATTGCGCGCCTGGCGCACCTGGCCCGCTTGGCACGTTGGGCACACCCGGAGCATTCGCCGCACCTGGCGCACCCAGCGAACCTGACGCGCCTTCTCGCCCCAGGTGCACATGGCGTCTATTGTTGTTTTCTTTTTGTTGGGTACGGTGTGTCCAAAAGAAGGCGCGGCCACAGACGCTAACCGTCTGGCCTGCAAACGCCGCACATGGATTATCTCACCTAGCATCGATGGACAGACCCGTCTGCAATGCTGATCGCATTGGCTGGCGCGGCAGAGTCTGCGAAAGGGGAAGGCGCGATCACCGTCGCAAACATGGACACCTCACTACAAAACCTGCCAAGTCGGGCTAAACAGTTGAATCCAGCTCCTGCCCCCCGAGCATCTGCTGATATTGGCTGCAAAAACCAACGTATGCGATCGGTGCCTCTAATTCGCCAGCCGCGGCGGCGCGCTCCAGGGGTGGCATGCGGCCGGGAAAAACGTGTCGATAACCTTGCCCTCTCGAAACACAAAGAACGTAGACCCCCTGACGTGCTTGTATTTTTGCTCGTGGCTCGACTGCCGCGCCGCGCCGCGAACCCAGTCCGCGAAGCGATGCCTCCTATAGCCGGGAGGCGAAGCAGTCGGGAGGCGACGCCTCCTATAGCCGGTCGTCGGCCGGGGTATCGATTAAATTTGTGCTAGCAGCGTGTGGCATGAATCATCCAACGGTCACCTGTGGAACATCCGCTCCCCCCCCCGGGGGGGGGAGAGAGGGGAGGGGGGGGAAGGGGGGAGGGGAGGGGGGAGAGGGGAGGGGGGGAGAGGGGAAGGGAGAAGGAAGGGGGGGGAGGGAAGAGGGAAGGGGGGGAGGAGGAGGGCGAGGAAGGGGGGGAGGGGAAAGGGGGGGGGGGGGGGAACAGGGCGGAACCAAGGCGGCTGCGAGGGAGGAAGCAAGGGCCGTCCAGGCAGGGCGGACCTGAAGTTTTTTCTTTTGTCGTATGCGGTCGCGTAAAAGAAGAAGCAGTGTGGTCAGCCTGCATAAATCCATCGGTCGCCGAGGCGCAGCCCCACCCCATGTGTCCCCGCTGGAGGGGTGGGCGGCGGTGGAAATTGCTCACGATATAACTTAGGGTGGAGTGTCTTCATCCTTTGCCACGCCGTGACTCGTAAGAGAAGTCTATGATGAGCCAATGTGAGGTCGAGCGCTGTATCTTCGAGCCATGGCCGGGGTGGCACTACTGATGTCCGCCAGAGGGTGTCTGCGGTAAGCTCGTACCACTCTCCAGCCTTCCGTGGTCTCCCGACGCGTTTGGGGCCATAGTCCCAGGGATTGAGCGTATGTGGGTCGAAAGTGCAGGAGGCGACTGGGTCAGTCGCAGGGGCTGAGATCAAGCGGCAGAGCAGGTCAAGCTTGAGTCTTTCGTGCGTGGCGCTGAAGCGCTCGAGGGGTTTATGCGGTCTCCTGCTATTGAGGGCGTTTTGGGCTTGGCTGTAGATGTACTCGTTCGTGTTCGTGCGGTCCTGGCCCTGGGCCATTTGGCCGAAGGTGGTTGGGATCCCGAGGATCTTGCGGAGGCCTTTCAATTGAAAACCGTCTAGCCGCTGTGTCTGTCCGGGGGTCAGTTGGGTAGTTTCTAAGCCGTACAGCAATTTCGATCTGCATACGGCGCTGAATACTTGTATTTTTTGCGGGACTGAGCAATCGCTGTGCAGCCAGAACGCATCCAGTCGCTGCATCGTCTGGTAGCAGTTACGGATGCGGGCGCTGATCTCTTTACCGACGTCATTTTTACTGTCCAGGGAGCAGCCTAGATATTTTACCGTC